GGGGGCGTGGCATCTTCCATACAAACCGAATTTTTCATACTGCCTATCTTTGGAAGTGTTCATGGTAGAGTTCTGGAACTTGGTGTGGAGATATACGAAATTAATCGCACACTCATGAAGAAAGAGGGCAGCTGTTGGAAAGGAGGGCGTGGCTCCTCCCATATAAATCGAATTTTTATACTGCATGTTAAACCGGCACAACGCTTGAGCAAGGTCGTGGCCGATTTAATTTGTTGGAATGAGAAATAAAGCAAAAACGTTTGTATTAATATTAAATATAAATTCGTGTTTATTCAATATCGATATTGGTATTAATATATGTATGTATATATTTGGTTTTACAGGTTACCTTTGATTTGACTCAGGAACACAATGGCTGGAACACGTCCTCTTGGATTCACTCTCGGAAAACAAGTAAGTGACCGGTTGAAATTTCTTCTTACTGTTGCCTGTCGAACTGTATATTTACCGAAGGGACATTTTAGCATAAGTAACATAGTGGTAAACAGTTCGACAGTTGACATAATAATGAAGTTATGTTAAGCATTAGGGTGGGTCGAAAATGCTGCGACAAATTTAGGCCGTTGGCCTAAACATGCCGGCCCCCTTTGCGAAGCGAAAAATCTGAATTCCACGTGTTCCGGCCACTATGTTCCAATTAACTCCTTAATTTTAAAAAATTATCTAATAATGTAAATGTTCTTCGTTGCCGTTGTCCATGTACCTAAACTCTGTAAGGTAGAAGAAAGTATTATTTAAAGACGTGGGTTTCAAAAATTCAACTGCACATTTATTCAATAAAATAAGTAACAATTCAGTGTGTATTTAATTCATTTTTGGTAAAAGTATGCGAAGAAAAAAAAAGTTCAACAAGCGCCCGACAGGACCCATCCAAAGATGGTGTTCTGTGCTAATAGCGGGCCGAGAGTACCCGCAGGAATTGCGCCGAGTAGTATTTTGGGGAAGACCTCGGCGCCTAATACTAAGCGGACTGGCGCTGCGATGTGGAAGCGCGGGTCCGCGAGCTTCAGGTTCGAATAAGCGGCGACTACGGTAGCGTCCAAACTAGTATGTCCGCTTCCGATAATTTTTGATGGAAATTGCGTGCGTCGTAACGGTGGCTGACTGTCCATGCTTTCCTCTCAACTTGTTGAAGTAGCCCCTTTGGGAATTTATTGCAGTTATCCCAAGATTTAATTCCCTCGCCAAATCTTCGGCGATTATGGACGTCGAAGCGCACGCATCAATTACGGCTCGAACCAAATGTAGGCGGCCCGCTGCTTCTATCTTGACCACAGCTGTCGGCGCGATCGATGTGAGGGCTTGAATCGGATGTGCCGGGGCTCGGAGGTCCTGGACCATACCTGACCGGAAACCGGTTCTAGGCGGAAGGTGGAACGCTTGTGGTTCCACTCTTCCATGCTGTCGCCGATGACGCGGTCGTCTGTTCAGTCGTCGAGTTTGAAGACGATGCCATTCGTTTCGCGGTTGGAAAGTTTTCATTTCCATTCCGCTTAGCTCTCTTTGCTCATATCTCAAGAGCTGCCCGTAGCGCTGGGGTTCCAGCTCCACTTCACTAGCCGAGTCCAGATGGAGTGCGTATGACTCCATTCCGGTTGATTCTTCTGGGCGGAAAGCGCTAGTTTCCGCTCCAGTTTCTGGCATATCCCCCTCCTCTAGATCTGGGCGGAAAGCATTAGTTTCCGCTCCAGCGACTGGCATTTCTTCCTCCTCCAGGTCTGGGCGGAAAGCATTCGATTCCGCTCCGACCTCAGACGCATCTAGTGAAAGCGCATCATCACTGTCATTGTTGATTATTGGCCTCCTTGATCGTCGCTGACGTCTTGATCCATCGCTCACGTTGTCAATATGGAGCATGGTGTGGTGTTCTTCGTTACAGCGTCGACATCTCCCTGGGTTAGTGCAGTGTGCTGCACGATGTATCCCCGATAAACAGTTCGTGCAATAGCGATGGATCAGAACGTCACGCAGGCGTTCTTCTGGTCTTTTGGCACGAAATATTGGGCATACTCTTAAGGGATGCTTGTTGCTGCATAATCTGCACGTCAGCGGGTAATTATTTGCCTCAGCTTGTTTGCGTACATTAGTGAAGCGAGTCATCTTCTGAAATAATCTTGTATGTAGCGCACCGACAAAAATGATCGATTTTGGAATGGCGAGCAATATTGAAACGAGATGGAGCATGTACGGTTTTTTCCGTAATTTCGTTAACTGCCTAAAAGTGCACAGTGTTATGACCCCTTAATGATTGATAGGTGGTTTGACCGTGCATGCATGCCTTTATGGTTGGTACAACAGGGTTGCAAGAGGTAAGTGGGTTTATTACCTGACATGGAGATGGCACGAAAAGTATGGTGGAAACAAATTATTATGTAGCAATTATCATTTTTTTTCTTTTTCGTCAGTCTCTGTGCTCGCATTAAATTGCATCAATGAAAAACTTATGCAATTGAAAAATAGATAATAATAAATAATTATGTGTTATTTATTACTACCCACCCCCTCTATATGAAAAAAAGCACACATAATTTCATTTACTGCAAACACATCAATGCCAACTAATGCAATGCAAGCTAATTTGCGCAATATTTTACGCAGACTGGGTACAGAAACTTGCAAGTGCAGCCCGAGTGTAAATACTTCTCAAGGTAACTCTGTAAAGTATCGAAATTATTTCTCATGTTATCGATAGTAGAACCTACTTCCGTGAATGGCCGCCTGTCATACACAAACAAGGTTATATATATTTGTGTTTACTACAAGTGCGGTTGTGCGGTTGTGCGGTACCGGTGAAGTATTTGTGCTTGTGAATCGGAAAAAACATAAATGAACGTAAAACAAAAAACGGCGTTGGTGTTGTGAAAAAAGAAATGGGGAAATAAAGGCTAACTCCAGGTGAATGAATATATGTAAGTAGTGTGAATGTATAAAAACAGAATTAATGTGGAACTAAAAATAAGTGAATTTTACGAAATACATGCGTACAAAGAAAATACGTAAATCAAAGTTATTTCGAACCAAAAAAAAACGTGCGTGATAAAAAAGCATGTATTATTGAAAACCTTACATATGCACCGAAGTACCGGTGCACTATTTAATTCACCTACAGTTCTGTGGCTTTTGTCCAAGCATACCAGTAGGAACCCTATCTGCTAGCTAATGCGTTATATACGCGTAGATAGTACTGCAAACAGTTTGTGTGAGCATTTTAAAAAAAATGTCCATCGTTTTACATAGGGATCGTGGAGAAATATAACGCATAATCGTGTCACGTGTGAGCAGTTTTCTCTTACTTTTGCATGGAATCCGCTATTATAGTATCCTATATGTTGTTGTTTCTTTCCAATCAAATATTATTACGCGATTAGTAACGTGTTATATAACGCCAAAAATGGCATATGGAATGTGTTGGTTATTATTGAAAATTTTAGAACGTTAGGACGTTCCTGCTGGGTATATACATACATATGTACATGTTGTACTAGTTGTTCGCGTTAAGGGTGTGTCAGACGGGAAGGATAAATTTTATTTCTACATGCGAAGAAATAAACATTGTGAAGTGTGACTGAAAAGAGTGCAAATCGATTTCGAAAAATATATTTCAACTTGCTCGTGTTTCCCTAGCAATTTTCACTTCTGCTGCAAGTTATGTCAAATTAACCGAGTGTTGCCGAATGATACTGATTGCAAATTGTGAAAGATAATTTGGAATAATTGTCAAAAAAAAACGTTTTGGAAATAAACCTAATTTCAGCAGACACTACAAAATTTCCCACTGTGACAGCTTATCCGAAAAAATATTGCACTACAACGTCTGACAACCCCTTTATACCGTCGTAGTTTCAGTACATGTATGCATATATGTACATACATACATACTTATGGATGTTTGAAATGCAGCTCAACGCCTGAACGGCACATTTTTTTGCACATTCCATGCTTTTGCCTTAGAGTTGTAGTTTCAGTACATGTATGTATAAATGCAGCTCAACGCATGAACGGCACAATTTTGGCACATTCCATACTATTGCCTTAGGGATGGTCAATGCCGCGTATGCTTGTGTGTTGACACAGTGTGTTGGTATCATTGTGTCATTGCTGCTGCGCTACTGTACTGGGTTACAGATTACTAATATGTGTAATTTAAAATGAAATGAAATAAATTGCGTTCGCCGGCAAATACGTTGAGCTGGAAATATCGAAAGAAATTTAATACGTGTATATGTATGACGGGTGAATGCGTTTGAAATTACTACGGGGATCTGCTTAAAGCTGTTTTTTTTTTTTTTTTGTTGTTTATCAAAGAATGTGCAGCACAGGACATGGATTAACGCATCGAAGGAATGGTGTTGCAGATGCAGCCAGGATGGCCGGCAATATGCGCTATCCACAATGCCCAGTGGAAGGTGAATTCTTTGAAGCAGAACCAGCCACCATACGACCAAAGAAAAAAGATCGGAAGAGCCGAAAGGGAAAAAGGGGGTAAGTGCTTTACAATTAAAATGTTTCTATGTTCTCCTATTGTATTATTGATATAAACCAGCCTACTCTGTTCGCGGGCCGTTCCATGGTGACTGGTGCAATGTGTTTGTGTGAAATAAATTTACATACGTAGATGGAAAAAATTAATGAAATTTAAACACCAAGTACGTTACTTCTCATTCGGTATAGCTAGAATTGGTTTTAATTTCATGTTGTTTACGTCTTTGAAATAGCAATATGTACAATTAGCGATTCTTCTCATTGGCAAGTTGTTTTCGCATACGAAAACGTTAACGACATGAAAAAATTCCTAGCAATTTCTACCGAATTTATTGAACAGTGTGTGTCTAAATGTAACTATCGTCTTAATGGTTCAATTTCATTAAGTATGCAAATTTATTTTTGAATTTCAATTCAATATGGAAAGGTGTGGTAGGTGGAAGGGGGGTTTTTTTTTTTTTTTCATATGGATTTATACAGACGCCATAGTTTCATCGTTATCCGTGGTATAGGGTGGTAGTAGTACTAGTTTGACAAGGGGTCTTGTCACTCTACCCTTTTCAGTTATGACCTCTACAACACGAACTCGATTGTCAGAACCTGGGTGCAAATTAGCCACCCTTCCTAATCTCCATTCGTTAGGTGGAAGATTATCCTCTCTTATGACCACCATGTCTCCCACTTTTATGTTGGATTTAGGATGTTTCCACTTTATTCGTTTCTGTAGTTCGGTAAGGTACTCCGATTTCCACCTCCTGCAGAAGTTTTGATGCAAGGCTTTGAGTTTCTGCCAACGATTGACGATCGAGGCTGGGTTTTCGTTCACATCTAGTTCTGGTGGAGCCAAGATGTGTCCGCCTACCAAAAAATGACCTGGAGTTAAGGGCTCAAGGTCAGATGGTTCATTGGAAGCTGGGCTCAGCGGACGTGAGTTGAGACACGACTCAACTCGGCATAGTAGAGTGTTGAATTCCTCAAATGTGTACTTCATATTAGACGCGATCTTTTTAAAGTGGCTTTTAAAGCTTTTCACACCTGCCTCCCACAGACCACCCATGTGCGGAGCTGCGGCAGGTGTGAAATGCCAAGTCAATGCCTGATGGGCATATTTTGATAACGTATTCGTCCGAGCGTCGGATAAAAATGCCTTTAGTTCCGCTTTTAAAGCCCGTGATGCTCCTACGAAATTTGTCCCATTATCTGAGTACACATTTTTTGGACACCCTCGTCTGGAAACGAATCTGGAAAATGCTGCTAAAAACGATTGAGTACTTAGGTCGCTTGTGGCCTCTAAATGAATGGCCTTGGTAGAAAAGCAGACAAATAGACACACATAACCCTTTGACATTCGGCAGCCTCGTCCACGATAACTCTTAATGTCAAATGGTCCAGCAAAATCCACCCCAGCATTGGTAAATGGTCGCGAAAAAGTTGTTCGCTCTTGTGGAAGAATCCCCATAAGTTGGCCTTGCGCGCGTTTTTTATAGATAGTGCAGATCTTGCAGTTATGGATTGTGGACCTTATCATCGTTTTCACCTTAGGAATCCAATACTGCGTTCGTATGAGACGCAACATTAGTTGATTCTCACCATGGAGAGAAGTTTCATGGATGAATTGGACAATCAGACGGGATAATCTACAATTGTATGGGAGTATAACGGGATGCCGTTCGTTGTACGCTAGATCCAGAGATGTGCCAAGACGACCCCCCGTCCGCAGCACATCATCTTTATCCAGAAATGGATTAAGAGGAAGTATTTCACTCTTAGACTCAATGCACTCTTTAGTTTTCAGTTTCGCGATTTCTGCTCCGTAATGTTGCTTCTGAGCAAGTTTAATCAGGCGAGTAGTCGTTGATTTAATTTCATTAGATGAAATTAAGCAAGATTCCGACTGAAAAGAAGCTTTTGTCTTCGGATGGGTTCTTTGAAAGAAACGCAATATATAAGATATCACCCTCAAAGCCCTCGGTAAACTAGAAAACCGGTCAAGAATGTCATTGATTTTGTCTGTCGATGTTGTTGCATGAACGTGCACCCTTTTTTCCTCAATGCTCGTGGTGAAGTCTGTCTCTTGGGTTGGCCAATTTTCCCTATTTTCTTGTAGCCAAGAAGGTCCCTGCCACCACAAAGAGTTTTTGACCAATTCGTTCGCCAGTATGCCTCTGCTTGCTAAATCTGCGGGATTCGTAGCTGAATCGACGTGAAGCCAGTTCAAGTTCCCTACTTTGTCTAAGATTTTTGTAATTCGGTGGGCAACGAAGGTTGACCACGAACATGGGGGCTTGCGTATCCACGCCAGAACAATCGTCGAATCAGTCCACAGATGTATGTTTAGGTGGCCTAATTCAAGATTTTTGGTGATTGATTCGACTATTTCTGACAGTAATACCGCCCCGCAAAGTTCTAATCTAGGCAAAGAAATTGTTTTGACTGGCGCTACTCTAGTTTTTGCTAATAGCAGATTTACAAGTACTTTATCCTCTTTTTCCACGCGTAAGTAGACTGCGGCAGCGTACGCTTTTTCGGATGCGTCGCAGAATCCGTGAATCTCTACCTTTTCCGTTGGTGAGAAAGATACCCAACGTGGTATCCTTATATTATTGATTTCCTGATAGTTTCTCGTGAAATTCTGCCATCTATCTAGTGTTGTTGGGGACACCGTCTCGTCCCAGTCTGTACCCTCTAACCATATGCTCTGCATAAGTATTTTCGCGACAATTATCATTGGAGCTAGCCAACCTAACGGGTCAAAGAGTTTAGCGATGGCTGATAATATCGCTCTCTTCGTTGGATTGACGTTATCTTCTATTGGCTTGGCTATAAAATAAAATTGGTCGGAATGCGCGTTCCACCTTATACCTAGGGCTTTTACACTGCTTGTGTCCTCAAACTCTAAGAAATTTTCACTCAGCAGATGTGCTTTTGGTATGCCTTGCAATATTTTATTGCAATTCGACGTCCATTTTCTAAGTGGAAAACCAGCTGATTTTAAAACTGCGGAAATCTCATCCCTGGCTTTTATCGCGGAGTCAATAGTATGTCCTCCGGCAAGAACGTCGTCGACATACATACTTTTTCGTAAAATGTTCGAGGCTATAGGATAGAGGCTTTCTGAGTCATCAGCTAGCTGGAGCAATGTCCTTATCGCGAGATAAGGAGCACAATTTATACCGAAAGTAACCGTCTTTAATTCGTAAATACTAATTGGTTCGTTTGGACACGTACGGAAAATTATTCGTTGGTACTTCGTTTGGTTGGCGTCTACAAGAATTTGCCTATACATCTTCTCAATATCGCTATTGAAGACGTATCTAAAAAGTCTCCAGCGGAGAATCAACACTGGTAAATCAGACTGAAGCACTGGCCCTGGAAGAAGAATATCGTTCAGGCTGACACCATTGGCTGAAGACGACGAAGCATTGAAAACCACCCGAACCTTTGTCGTAGTACTCTCTTCTTTTACCACAGCGTGATGTGGTAAATAGTAACTGTCGACTGCATCTGCTGACTGAATTGCATTAACTTTAGACATATGGCCCATTGTCTCGTATTCCATGATGACTTTGTTATATTCCCTCTGTAAGTCTGGATTTTTTCTAAGTCGAGTTTCGTTCTTGTAAAATTGAGAAAACGCGATTTTGAGTGATGGCCCTAAGTTTATATCAGCCGGGAACTCCGCCTTGAAAGGAAGCGACACGATGTACCTCCCATCTGGATTCCGCTGTGTTGTACGCTTGTAAAGCTCCTCGCACTTTGCTTCCTCAGCTGTTGCAGTTTTATCTCGTGGAAGATCCTCAAGTTCCCAAAAAGAGCTTAGCTGTTTGTCTAGGGCCACTTCATTGAAGAACGATACTCTATTATTGTTGGTTGGGTTGACTGCATCAGCACGACCAGTCAGTATCCAACCGAACACTGTTTCTTGTGCCAGAAGGGTACTAAGAACATTCTTCTTAATGCCACTCAAAATTATATGGGGATATATGTCCCCTCCCAAGACAAGATCGACCTGCTCATTTACATAAAACCTTTTATCTGCCAGGATGAGATCAGGAAAAGCTTGTTGTGTTAGTGCGCTAATGTCGCAAGTTGGCAAATTCCCGGTAAGAGTTGGTAGCACTAACACAATAGCATCAATTGAAATGAATGGGTCAATCGGTGACCGCAACTGTATCGAACACGCTTCTTTTACCTGTGCAGAAACCGTATTATTGATGCCCGAAACTTGAGCATGCATTTTCTTTGTGGGCAGTTGATTCTGCGTCTGAGCCTCTCCGTAATGAAGGAACACTCAGAGCCAGAATCAATTAGAGCTCTAGCAGCATAATTGGTGCCATTATAATGAATAGTAACCCGAGCAGTGCCGAGTAAAACACCTTTGCTAGTATTAGCGTGATGTGATTGCACCTTTTTTACTTGGTTACTTTTCCCCTTTGAAGCTTGATTCCTCAATTGTGCCTGTCTGGAAGTCGATGGTAAATTGTCCGCAGGATTAGAAGTATTTTCCCTGGTAGCTGTTTTAGGCGGTGCTGTCTGATTGTGTAGGAGCGTATGGTGTCGAGAATGGCAATTGGCGCAGTTATAAGAACTCGTGCATTTCGACACCGAATGTCCGAAAGACAGACAGTTAAAACAGCTATTGTTCGTTTTTACAAAGGAGATTCTATCAGCTACAGACATCTTCAGAAATTTTGGGCACATATGAATTCTATGCTCGTTGCTTTGGCACATTTTGCACATGTATTTGGCGACACTAGTTTGAAAAACGCCAAGTTTCTTGTGAGAGGGTTCAGAGGAATGCTTATGACTTGGCACTTTTGAAAACTTCGAAGTCTTGATTCCTCTTAAACCTGAAACCGATTCTAACGTTTGAAACCTGCTTGAAAGGAATCGGTCCATATCTGACCACTTGGATATTTCTGTTTTATTTTCTACCGATTGTTCCCACAGCGAAAGGGTTTCCTCAGGTAGTTTAGTAGAACACAGATACGTAATAATAGGGTCCCAGTTTGAAATGTCAATCTGGTGACTCTCTAGGGATGATATACAATTATTAATATCCCTTTGTAATCTCTTTATTGAGCTTCCACATTCACTATCAACTGTATTCAAGTTGAAGAGAATCTTCAACTGAGTGTTAACTAGGATCCTCTTATTTTCGTATCTATCGCAAAGATTCTTCCAGGCTGTGTTAAAGCCTTCATTCGTTAAGTCGCATTTCTTGACAATTTCTTTGGCTTCACCCTGCGTTTTTTGATTCAGATAATAAAGCTTCTGTATGGGTGTTAGCCGTTTGTTCAAGATATAAATTGCCGTGAACATGTCACGAAAAGTTGGCCACGACAAATAATCACCTTTAAAAACGTCAATATCGCAAGGTGGAAGATGCAAACTATGCGAAGCGAGTGACATCTCTTCACTTTCCTTTTCTGATTTTTCCAACTTTTCGGAATATTCGTTAATTTTTGTCATACACCGGACAAAAGCTGCATAGCAGATCTTATTTTTCTTTCTTATAGCGCTAACATCTTTAGCACTAGTTGATTCGGTAGTCAGAACTTCGTCAAAGAGTGCTTTGGCTTTCTCCCACAGTGCACTAAGCTCGCTTTGCTGAATTTTCAGCGAATGTTTGGAGTGCTCACCTGTGGGAGTGCTCAGAAATTCTGTATCAAATTCAATGACCGAATCTGCTAACCGGGTGTATGTTTCCATTTTATTTAATTTTTTCACTTATTTGCGAAATAACAACTTCACAAGAAATTTTTGGAAGTATCACTATGAGAGACTGACTCAAAAGAAGCCAATTTTCCAACCGTAAAGGTAGCACACGAAGAAAATCCTATGTCAAGGTAACCCAAAACTATATACCCAATGTATATAAGCAGAATGCACCACCAAAATACCACCAATTCAACCACAAAGTAATAAAAATTCTCTATTTTTCCTTTAAATTGTATCTATGAACTTTCTATGTTTATTAACACCGATTTAGCAATATAAATGCGTTTTAAGTATACGTATGTATGTATGTTTGTTTGTTCACAAGAAATTGCTCGCCAACCAAACCAGTGAGATCTGTATATGTATGTATGTGTATATATTCTTATGTACAAGCGCGTTATATGCCAAGTGCAAATAAATAATGAATATGGAAAAACACACCACTTGACTAATTAGAAATAGTGCCAAAATTTGTATTGGTTTTTAATAAATTAAATGCAAACGCGAAAGTGATTTTGTGAAAAGGAAATATTGCAAGTACCAAAGTTCGGTGCAGTGAAAAGTTTGGTTATGTAAACCGAATACAAGTGCAGTGTTGTTGGTAAATTTCGGTACTAAAATGCAAGTCACCAAGGAAAATATGATTAACAAAAATTCAACTATTTGAATTAATCACCGTAAAGAAACTTCTTGCAAATTGTTTCGCGATAATTCCAAAGCAAAACAAAACACTGCCTTTTTTTATGCCTGATCACACTTGTTTAATATTTAAATGGCTTTAGCGCCCACAAATGTATGTACATATATATGTGCGTGTGTGTGTGTCACTTAGCACTTCGGTTGCAATTAAAACTTTAAATTTTCACAAAATCACTCGCGAATTCTTGATTATTAACTAAATAAATGCTACACAAGATAATCTAAGTGCAGTGAAATTTGACCCACGTACCTTTAATGTAAAAAATTGATGACTTTATTTATCTAACAGGTGTCGGTGTTCGTGTGTGTGTTTTTGCTGTTGTTACTGGAAGCTCCTTTGGTTGCTTTGTGCAAAAATTTTGTAGCTGCTGCTGCAATGTACGGCTGCTTCAGATAGGCTCAAATTGGAATCCTCGGATTGGCTCAAAAAGCTGGGCGCTGGCAAGTGGAAAATGTTACGGCGTTGAAGGACCAGTATGTTAAACCGGCACAACGCTTGAGCAAGGTCGTGGCCGATTTAATTTGTTGGAATGAGAAATAAAGCAAAAACGTTTGTATTAATATTAAATATAAATTCGTGTTTATTCAATATCGATATTGGTATTAATATATGTATGTATATATTTGGTTTTACAGGTTACCTTTGATTTGACTCAGGAACACAATGGCTGGAACACGTCCTCTTGGATTCACTCTCGGAAAACAAGTAAGTGACCGGTTGAAATTTCTTCTTACTGTTGCCTGTCGAACTGTATATTTACCGAAGGGACATTTTAGCATAAGTAACATAGTGGTAAACAGTTCGACAGTTGACATAATAATGAAGTTATGTTAAGCATTAGGGTGGGTCGAAAATGCTGCGACAAATTTAGGCCGTTGGCCTAAACACTGCATATCTCTGAAAGGAATTATAAAATCTAAAATATTTTAAGACGTCCACCAAAATATTTCGGAAAAATATTAACATTAGCTGGACCGAGTTCAAAATACCTCCAAAAATGGAAATAGTTTCTTAAAGATGATTTTTGAAAAAGTTCCCTCAAATGACAAAACGGTTTAGGCTTAAAAAATTTACATAAGAATTAAAAAAATAAAAAATTGAACCGAATGGCAATAATGAGATTTTTGATGCTGTTTTATTTAACTTTTTTCAAAGATTGGTATAAGAAAAACTTGAATAACTGAACCTAAACCATCCGATTTAGACTTGTGAGGTATCTTTGGAAAGGTATTTTCTCACCCTTTTTACTCCTTTGCTAATAAACTCATTCAAAGGATGAAAGAGAAAGGTAGGATGAACGAATACCATTCAAAGTTGAATAAAGATGTGTTGGTATTAAAAAAAAATTGGGGTACGAACGACTTGTTTCGCACATAAATAAAAATAGTGGGAAAATACCTTTCTACCGAGATCCCGTTGAAAGGATTTTTAATATTTTTATGCAGATATTTTAAGCCTAATCTGTTTTGTCATCTGAGCGGACTTTTTTCAAAAAGTTCTATAAGAAACTAATTTTACACATAAAAAAACTCCATTTTTTGAGGTGTCTTGAAATCGGTCCAGCTCGCTTAAATCTTAATATTTTGGTTGACGTCTTAAAATAAAATAAATTTTGTAATCCCGGCAGAAAACCGCAATTTTTTTTTTTGGTGATGCAGTCTAATGTCTATATATATTCCTTTAGGATTTTGCAGAAAACCGTTATGTTAGTTATAACAAGTAAGAAAGTCTAAATTCGGGCGGAGCCGAACATTAAATACCCGGCGCACGTAATAAATATATGTTTTTCACCTTTACGAAAGCTACCGCTATATGGTAAGCCGGGGTGTGCCAATTTTGAGTAAATTAGCGTCCTTAAATTTCGAAATATTGAAATTTCAAGCATATCTGAAATTTACCGTTATATGAAAATAATAATAATTTTAGTTCGATTTCAATAATTTTGAACGTTTTGCTTTTATGTGGCAGGCATAATAACCACACCGAGTTTGGTACAAATTGGTAGAACGGTTACCGAGATACATATATGTGATCATAAGTGGGCGGTGCCACGCCCATTTTTCAAAATTTTATCCTAAACGTATTTCTTGGTAAAGAATTGTTGCAAGCATCAATTTTGAATAAATTAGCTTTAATATTTACTGATTTATCGAAGATTTCGTATTTCTCCAAATTACCGTTATATGGGATGTAGGCGTGGTTATTGTCCGATTTTAAAAATTTTCGGCCATTTGGTATACCGTAGCAAGACTAACAACTGTGCCAAGTTTGGAAGAAATTGGTGCAGCGGTTACAAAGATATACACATGTAACCATAAGTGGGCGTGGCTACGCCCATTTTCCAAAAAATTTATAATATTCTTATTTATCGTCTGAAAATTGTTGTAAATATCAATTTTGAGTGTATAATCTTCACTAGTTACTAAAATATCGCGATTTTCGTATTTCCGATAATTACCGTTATATGGGAAGTGGCCGTGGTTACAGTCCGATTTCGCCCATTTTCAATACCAACCTACCTTGGGTTAACGGAAACCTACGTACCAAATTTCGTTGAGATATCTCAATTGTTGCTCGAGTTATCGTGTACGCGGACGGATAGACAGACGGACAGACGGACGGACAGACAGACATGGCTTAATCGATTTCTCTTTTCATTCTGATCATTTATGTACACATTTGTGTATATCATCTCGATTCGTTTTGGCTGTTACAAACAACCGTTATGTAAACAAAATTAATATACCCTTGTGCACAAGTGCGCTCGGGTATAAAAATGTGTAGAATTTCTAGGCAAAATGCAAACAAAAAAATAAAAACATACAATGGATAACGGATCAATGCAAAGATTTGCATAACGTTGCATTCATTCCACTCAACTGCACTTTTCATCATACTATGCGCAAATTTCGATATCAACACTACGCTCGACGCGCGTCAGCAAAGGCAAACAATAAAATCGGAAATTTCAGACAAAATTACAACTTCCTGTCACCAACAGTAGTGGTAGCGTGGGCAACAACAACAACAGCAACAGCAAGAACAGCGAATGTCAGTAGCAAATATTTTAGTTATAAACTCGAACAACTCATGCCACATGACAACAAGCAAACTCTTTACCAACCACCACCCACCCACTCACACACCTTTACTGCGGCCACTACGCTACCAATTAAATGACTAACACTAATTTTTTATTTATTTTTTAATGCAACTAAAGTTTAACTCAATAACGCGGTAGTGCCAAATGCAAAGTTAACGAAATTTAAAAAAAAAAACGACAAAAAAACAACAACAATAAAAAATTGTTTATGAAAAGGCGCCATTTTGTTAAAAGTAGAAATTATGGAAACGTGACCACAACTTCATGCTGCATATTGGCAGCCGCAGCGCAGCGGCGATAGAGAGCAGCAATACTTAGTTGCATAGCCGGTGACAAGTGGGCGAGGGGAACAGCAAACACCAACATTTAACGGAAAAGTGTGCAATTTTCCAAGAACATTTGTGCAAAATTACGTTTGTGTGTTGGTGTGAGCAAAATTTAGAGACAGTCTGGTAAAGCGCTAGTTCCGCCCTAGAAATTTCAGAACTGTCTCTGAACTACTGCAAAAGGGATGTAGAGCTGGACGGTTGAAACTCATATGTTGCTAGTTGCGCTGTCATCAATGTTATGCTGGTCATGCGAAAGCTGACAAAAGATGCACAAATGTACTATACTATATTCTTTCGATTTTTTTAGACTCTAAAACTAATAGCAAAATATAACCATACAATTTGGTTAAGTTACACTTAACAGCAAAAGTCTGCGTACGCCATTTATTTTTTAAATATTCACAAAATATTGAGAGTTAAAATTTGTTTGTTATTATTTTATAAAAAAAATTGATCATGCTTAAAACAAAATCATATAAACCGTGTTTTCAAGCTTTATGCAAAACAAAGGAAAATTTAACGATTTGTCATCAAAATTTTCGACTTTTTAATCAGATTTAAAAAAAGATAAACAAAAGTGCGTAGTTATGCAATGATTTTTTTTTGTAATTTCCAATGTTTTGCATTTTAAATATTTTTCGTTAAGTATGTCTCATATTCCATGAACAATTTAAATTCAAATTCCTAACAGTGCTGCAAACTTGATAGAACTCTAAAGCTGTCTTCAAATTTCAACTTTTTAATCAGAGTTTTTTTTATAGATATTTCAGGTATTCAGTTTTGTAGCCCATCAAATTTTAGTGTAGTAAAGAGTAACCTTGCATCTTGAATGAAAATATTTAAATAGGAGAATACCTTCAAAAGCTATAGGAATGCATACTTACCACTCCGGTTTGAAAATGTTGACGTTTTTTAACAGCTTCCCGAATTCTACTAAATTTCCAACACAGTTAGAAACGTGAATTTATATGTTTATGCTATAATACTTATGAGCCATCCTTGAATAAAAAAATTTACGAAAAATATTTAAAAAAAGATTACGAAAAATATTTAGCATGAAAACCATTGTAAATATTAAAAATTCTATGAATTCTTATTAGATGCCGGACAGATGTATTACATTTCAATACATTTAATACAATTTAACGCTGAATTATCACAAATAAGCATTCAATATATCACCGTTTTTCCTCTTTTTATCACACGACTTGGTTTAGACTTTTAATTATAGGAAGCACAGAAAAACCCTTTATACGTAACAAATATAAATTATTTTTAAGAATAACGGTTTTAGAAAATGAAGGAATAACTGACAATTTATGTTCTTAATTTTAAAGCGCAGTTTGCCTCAAAAAGTAAGTTAGTTCAAAACAAATAGCTCAATAATCATGAAACGAAGAATTTTTTATTTACAAAATTTTATGCGTGCTTATTAACAGTATTTAAAGAAAAGGCTCTATACTGTACTTCTTAGAACCTGCTCAAAACTAACCACATTTGTTCTAGCCCGGAGATGACCCTTTTTGAACTATCTAGGAACTGATGTTATATGAACTGTCTTAGAACCATCTAAGCCAAAGTCAGCTCAGAACAAGTTCAAAAGTTCTGCAGAGGGCGACAATTGCCACTTCGTAGGACATCGCCATGTTAAAAAAGACAGTTGAAAGCATTGGTGTGCAAAAAATTCCAAGAAAATTAAAAAATAAGAAAATAAGCACAACAGCTTTATAGCAGTGATGCTATGCGAAATGGAGTGAGTCGAAAAAATAGCTCTTCGTTTGGCAGGCGAACAGTGCAGTTATACAAGGGTTTGTGATAAGTCAGTGACTTTCTGAATATTTCTTCTTTGTCACGAATTAAGCCTTTCTAAAAATAGACTCCTTTTGTTGATTGATTCTTGCGACAGATAAACGAAATGTTACATGTTGAAACGAACATGAAAACCGGGTTGGTTCCAAATTTAATTTTGCAAGCGACGAGGAAACTTGCTTCAAAACAAAATTATTTCATCCCTTTAAAACAAAATATGTCCCCGAGGTCCTGTGTATGAATATGCATTTTTTAGATATTTATTTCAGTGTTGAGTTCTTCATTTGAAAAAAAAAACACATTTTACCGCCGAGCTATTGTCTCTGGTTTAGGAACTGAAAATAGTCGGAAGACGCTAAATGCCTATAATCTATACTAATTATATAAAGAGAAGTCCCTTTTTTTTGTAACAGGTAATCTCGCGAACGGCTGGTCCGATTTTCATGAAATTTTGTATACAAATAGCTTTCGGTAACCAACATGTTTTAGGCTAAAAAAATTTTACTTTTTTCGGGTAGGTGAACCAGGGACCGGTCTATTCGAAAAAATCTTATTATAGTCCGATTTGCTTACAATTTAGTACGTAAGTAGCTTTTTAGCATATATTAGCATATATGCCCCATTTTTTCCGGGAAGTGGACCAGGGACTGATCTATTCGAAAAAATCGTTTTTACGGTTGATTTGCTTAAAATTCGGTACGTAGGTACCTTTTTAGCATATATTAGAGTTCTAGAGAAATAAATCGCATATTCTTGCAGAAAAATTGGAACTATTGGAAAAGGGGGCGTGGCATCTTCCATACAAACCGAATTTTTCATACTGCCTATCTTTGGAAGTGTTCATGGTAGAGTTCTGGAACTTGGTGTGGAGATATACGAAATTAATCGCACACTCATGAAGAAAGAGGGCAGCTGTTGGAAAGGAGGGCGTGGCTCCTCCCATATAAATCGAATTTTTATACTGCATGTTAAACCGGCACAACGCTTGAGCAAGGTCGTGGCCGATTTAATTTGTTGGAATGAGAAATAAAGCAAAAACGTTTGTATTAATATTAAATATAAATTCGTGTTTATTCAATATCGATATTGGTATTAATATATGTATGTATATATTTGGTTTTACAGGTTACCTTTGATTTGACTCAGGAACACAATGGCTGGAACACGTCCTCTTGGATTCACTCTCGGAAAACAAGTAAGTGACCGGTTGAAATTTCTTCTTACTGTTGCCTGTCGAACTGTATATTTACCGAAGGGACATTTTAGCATAAGTAACATAGTGGTAAACAGTTCGACAGTTGACATAATAATGAAGTTATGTTAAGCATTAGGGTGGGTCGAAAATGCTGCGACAAATTTAGGCCGTTGGCCTAAACATGCCGGCCCCCTTTGCGAAGCGAAAAATCTGAATTCCACGTGTTCCGGCCACTATGTTCCAATTAACTCCTTAATTTTAAAAAATTATCTAATAATGTAAATGTTCTTCGTTGCCGTTGTCCATGTACCTAAACTCTGTAAGGTAGAAGAAAGTATTATTTAAAGACGTGGGTTTCAAAAATTCAACTGCACATTTATTCAATAAAATAAGTAACAATTCAGTGTGTATTTAATTCATTTTTGGTAAAAGTATGCGAAGAAAAAAAAAGTTCAACAAGCGCCCGACAGGACCCATCCAAAGATGGTGTTCTGTGCTAATAGCGGGCCGAGAGTACCCGCAGGAATTGCGCCGAGTAGTATTTTGGGGAAGACCTCGGCGCCTAATACTAAGCGGACTGGCGCTGCGATGTGGAAGCGCGGGTCCGCGAGCTTCAGGTTCGAATAAGCGGCGACTACGGTAGCGTCCAAACTAGTATGTCCGCTTCCGATAATTTTTGATGGAAATTGCGTGCGTCGTAACGGTGGCTGACTGTCCATGCTTTCCTCTCAACTTGTTGAAGTAGCCCCTTTGGGAATTTATTGCAGTTATCCCAAGATTTAATTCCCTCGCCAAATCTTCGGCGATTATGGACGTCGAAGCGCACGCATCAATTACGGCTCGAACCAAATGTAGGCGGCCCGCTGCTTCTATCTTGACCACAGCTGTCGGCGCGATCGATGTGAGGGCTTGAATCGGATGTGCCGGGGCTCGGAGGTCCTGGACCATACCTGACCGGAAACCGGTTCTAGGCGGAAGGTGGAACGCTTGTGGTTCCACTCTTCCATGCTGTCGCCGATGACGCGGTCGTCTGTTCAGTCGTCGAGTTTGAAGACGATGCCATTCGTTTCGCGGTTGGAAAGTTTTCATTTCCATTCCGCTTAGCTCTCTTTGCTCATATCTCAAGAGCTGCCCGTAGCGCTGGGGTTCCAGCTCCACTTCACTAGCCGAGTCCAGATGGAGTGCGTATGACTCCATTCCGGTTGATTCTTCTGGGCGGAAAGCGCTAGTTTCCGCTCCAGTTTCTGGCATATCCCCCTCCTCTAGATCTGGGCGGAAAGCATTAGTTTCCGCTCCAGCGACTGGCATTTCTTCCTCCTCCAGGTCTGGGCGGAAAGCATTCGATTCCGCTCCGACCTCAGACGCATCTAGTGAAAGCGCATCATCACTGTCATTGTTGATTATTGGCCTCCTTGATCGTCGCTGACGTCTTGATCCATCGCTCACGTTGTCAATATGGAGCATGGTGTGGTGTTCTTCGTTACAGCGTCGACATCTCCCTGGGTTAGTGCAGTGTGCTGCACGATGTATCCCCGATAAACAGTTCGTGCAATAGCGATGGATCAGAACGTCACGCAGGCGTTCTTCTGGTCTTTTGGCACGAAATATTGGGCATACTCTTAAGGGATGCTTGTTGCTGCATAATCTGCACGTCAGCGGGTAATTATTTGCCTCAGCTTGTTTGCGTACATTAGTGAAGCGAGTCATCTTCTGAAATAATCTTGTATGTAGCGCACCGACAAAAATGATCGATTTTGGAATGGCGAGCAATATTGAAACGAGATGGAGCATGTACGGTTTTTTCCGTAATTTCGTTAACTGCCTAAAAGTGCACAGTGTTATGACCCCTTAATGATTGATAGGTGGTTTGACCGTGCATGCATGCCTTTATGGTTGGTACAACAGGGTTGCAAGAGGTAAGTGGGTTTATTACCTGACATGGAGATGGCACGAAAAGTATGGTGGAAACAAATTATTATGTAGCAATTATCATTTTTTTTCTTTTTCGTCAGTCTCTGTGCTCGCATTAAATTGCATCAATGAAAAACTTATGCAATTGAAAAATAGATAATAATAAATAATTATGTGTTATTTATTACTACCCACCCCCTCTATATGAAAAAAAGCACACATAATTTCATTTACTGCAAACACATCAATGCCAACTAATGCAATGCAAGCTAATTTGCGCAATATTTTACGCAGACTGGGTACAGAAACTTGCAAGTGCAGCCCGAGTGTAAATACTTCTCAAGGTAACTCTGTAAAGTATCGAAATTATTTCTCATGTTATCGATAGTAGAACCTACTTCCGTGAATGGCCGCCTGTCATACACAAACAAGGTTATATATATTTGTGTTTACTACAAGTGCGGTTGTGCGGTTGTGCGGTACCGGTGAAGTATTTGTGCTTGTGAATCGGAAAAAACATAAATGAACGTAAAACAAAAAACGGCGTTGGTGTTGTGAAAAAAGAAATGGGGAAATAAAGGCTAACTCCAGGTGAATGAATATATGTAAGTAGTGTGAATGTATAAAAACAGAATTAATGTGGAACTAAAAATAAGTGAATTTTACGAAATACATGCGTACAAAGAAAATACGTAAATCAAAGTTATTTCGAACCAAAAAAAAACGTGCGTGATAAAAAAGCATGTATTATTGAAAACCTTACATATGCACCGAAGTACCGGTGCACTATTTAATTCACCTACAGTTCTGTGGCTTTTGTCCAAGCATACCAGTAGGAACCCTATCTGCTAGCTAATGCGTTATATACGCGTAGATAGTACTGCAAACAGTTTGTGTGAGCATTTTAAAAAAAATGTCCATCGTTTTACATAGGGATCGTGGAGAAATATAACGCATAATCGTGTCACGTGTGAGCAGTTTTCTCTTACTTTTGCATGGAATCCGCTATTATAGTATCCTATATGTTGTTGTTTCTTTCCAATCAAATATTATTACGCGATTAGTAACGTGTTATATAACGCCAAAAATGGCATATGGAATGTGTTGGTTATTATTGAAAATTTTAGAACGTTAGGACGTTCCTGCTGGGTATATACATACATATGTACATGTTGTACTAGTTGTTCGCGTTAAGGGTGTGTCAGACGGGAAGGATAAATTTTATTTCTACATGCGAAGAAATAAACATTGTGAAGTGTGACTGAAAAGAGTGCAAATCGATTTCGAAAAATATATTTCAACTTGCTCGTGTTTCCCTAGCAATTTTCACTTCTGCTGCAAGTTATGTCAAATTAACCGAGTGTTGCCGAATGATACTGATTGCAAATTGTGAAAGATAATTTGGAATAATTGTCAAAAAAAAACGTTTTGGAAATAAACCTAATTTCAGCAGACACTACAAAATTTCCCACTGTGACAGCTTATCCGAAAAAATATTGCACTACAACGTCTGACAACCCCTTTATACCGTCGTAGTTTCAGTACATGTATGCATATATGTACATACATACATACTTATGGATGTTTGAAATGCAGCTCAACGCCTGAACGGCACATTTTTTTGCACATTCCATGCTTTTGCCTTAGAGTTGTAGTTTCAGTACATGTATGTATAAATGCAGCTCAACGCATGAACGGCACAATTTTGGCACATTCCATACTATTGCCTTAGGGATGGTCAATGCCGCGTATGCTTGTGTGTTGACACAGTGTGTTGGTATCATTGTGTCATTGCTGCTGCGCTACTGTACTGGGTTACAGATTACTAATATGTGTAATTTAAAATGAAATGAAATAAATTGCGTTCGCCGGCAAATACGTTGAGCTGGAAATATCGAAAGAAATTTAATACGTGTATATGTATGACGGGTGAATGCGTTTGAAATTACTACGGGGATCTGCTTAAAGCTGTTTTTTTTTTTTTTTTGTTGTTTATCAAAGAATGTGCAGCACAGGACATGGATTAACGCATCGAAGGAATGGTGTTGCAGATGCAGCCAGGATGGCCGGCAATATGCGCTATCCACAATGCCCAGTGGAAGGTGAATTCTTTGAAGCAGAACCAGCCACCATACGACCAAAGAAAAAAGATCGGAAGAGCCGAAAGGGAAAAAGGGGGTAAGTGCTTTACAATTAAAATGTTTCTATGTTCTCCTATTGTATTATTGATATAAACCAGCCTACTCTGTTCGCGGGCCGTTCCATGGTGACTGGTGCAATGTGTTTGTGTGAAATAAATTTACATACGTAGATGGAAAAAATTAATGAAATTTAAACACCAAGTACGTTACTTCTCATTCGGTATAGCTAGAATTGGTTTTAATTTCATGTTGTTTACGTCTTTGAAATAGCAATATGTACAATTAGCGATTCTTCTCATTGGCAAGTTGTTTTCGCATACGAAAACGTTAACGACATGAAAAAATTCCTAGCAATTTCTACCGAATTTATTGAACAGTGTGTGTCTAAATGTAACTATCGTCTTAATGGTTCAATTTCATTAAGTATGCAAATTTATTTTTGAATTTCAATTCAATATGGAAAGGTGTGGTAGGTGGAAGGGGGGTTTTTTTTTTTTTTTCATATGGATTTATACAGACGCCATAGTTTCATCGTTATCCGTGGTATAGGGTGGTAGTAGTACTAGTTTGACAAGGGGTCTTGTCACTCTACCCTTTTCAGTTATGACCTCTACAACACGAACTCGATTGTCAGAACCTGGGTGCAAATTAGCCACCCTTCCTAATCTCCATTCGTTAGGTGGAAGATTATCCTCTCTTATGACCACCATGTCTCCCACTTTTATGTTGGATTTAGGATGTTTCCACTTTATTCGTTTCTGTAGTTCGGTAAGGTACTCCGATTTCCACCTCCTGCAGAAGTTTTGATGCAAGGCTTTGAGTTTCTGCCAACGATTGACGATCGAGGCTGGGTTTTCGTTCACATCTAGTTCTGGTGGAGCCAAGATGTGTCCGCCTACCAAAAAATGACCTGGAGTTAAGGGCTCAAGGTCAGATGGTTCATTGGAAGCTGGGCTCAGCGGACGTGAGTTGAGACACGACTCAACTCGGCATAGTAGAGTGTTGAATTCCTCAAATGTGTACTTCATATTAGACGCGATCTTTTTAAAGTGGCTTTTAAAGCTTTTCACACCTGCCTCCCACAGACCACCCATGTGCGGAGCTGCGGCAGGTGTGAAATGCCAAGTCAATGCCTGATGGGCATATTTTGATAACGTATTCGTCCGAGCGTCGGATAAAAATGCCTTTAGTTCCGCTTTTAAAGCCCGTGATGCTCCTACGAAATTTGTCCCATTATCTGAGTACACATTTTTTGGACACCCTCGTCTGGAAACGAATCTGGAAAATGCTGCTAAAAACGATTGAGTACTTAGGTCGCTTGTGGCCTCTAAATGAATGGCCTTGGTAGAAAAGCAGACAAATAGACACACATAACCCTTTGACATTCGGCAGCCTCGTCCACGATAACTCTTAATGTCAAATGGTCCAGCAAAATCCACCCCAGCATTGGTAAATGGTCGCGAAAAAGTTGTTCGCTCTTGTGGAAGAATCCCCATAAGTTGGCCTTGCGCGCGTTTTTTATAGATAGTGCAGATCTTGCAGTTATGGATTGTGGACCTTATCATCGTTTTCACCTTAGGAATCCAATACTGCGTTCGTATGAGACGCAACATTAGTTGATTCTCACCATGGAGAGAAGTTTCATGGATGAATTGGACAATCAGACGGGATAATCTACAATTGTATGGGAGTATAACGGGATGCCGTTCGTTGTACGCTAGATCCAGAGATGTGCCAAGACGACCCCCCGTCCGCAGCACATCATCTTTATCCAGAAATGGATTAAGAGGAAGTATTTCACTCTTAGACTCAATGCACTCTTTAGTTTTCAGTTTCGCGATTTCTGCTCCGTAATGTTGCTTCTGAGCAAGTTTAATCAGGCGAGTAGTCGTTGATTTAATTTCATTAGATGAAATTAAGCAAGATTCCGACTGAAAAGAAGCTTTTGTCTTCGGATGGGTTCTTTGAAAGAAACGCAATATATAAGATATCACCCTCAAAGCCCTCGGTAAACTAGAAAACCGGTCAAGAATGTCATTGATTTTGTCTGTCGATGTTGTTGCATGAACGTGCACCCTTTTTTCCTCAATGCTCGTGGTGAAGTCTGTCTCTTGGGTTGGCCAATTTTCCCTATTTTCTTGTAGCCAAGAAGGTCCCTGCCACCACAAAGAGTTTTTGACCAATTCGTTCGCCAGTATGCCTCTGCTTGCTAAATCTGCGGGATTCGTAGCTGAATCGACGTGAAGCCAGTTCAAGTTCCCTACTTTGTCTAAGATTTTTGTAATTCGGTGGGCAACGAAGGTTGACCACGAACATGGGGGCTTGCGTATCCACGCCAGAACAATCGTCGAATCAGTCCACAGATGTATGTTTAGGTGGCCTAATTCAAGATTTTTGGTGATTGATTCGACTATTTCTGACAGTAATACCGCCCCGCAAAGTTCTAATCTAGGCAAAGAAATTGTTTTGACTGGCGCTACTCTAGTTTTTGCTAATAGCAGATTTACAAGTACTTTATCCTCTTTTTCCACGCGTAAGTAGACTGCGGCAGCGTACGCTTTTTCGGATGCGTCGCAGAATCCGTGAATCTCTACCTTTTCCGTTGGTGAGAAAGATACCCAACGTGGTATCCTTATATTATTGATTTCCTGATAGTTTCTCGTGAAATTCTGCCATCTATCTAGTGTTGTTGGGGACACCGTCTCGTCCCAGTCTGTACCCTCTAACCATATGCTCTGCATAAGTATTTTCGCGACAATTATCATTGGAGCTAGCCAACCTAACGGGTCAAAGAGTTTAGCGATGGCTGATAATATCGCTCTCTTCGTTGGATTGACGTTATCTTCTATTGGCTTGGCTATAAAATAAAATTGGTCGGAATGCGCGTTCCACCTTATACCTAGGGCTTTTACACTGCTTGTGTCCTCAAACTCTAAGAAATTTTCACTCAGCAGATGTGCTTTTGGTATGCCTTGCAATATTTTATTGCAATTCGACGTCCATTTTCTAAGTGGAAAACCAGCTGATTTTAAAACTGCGGAAATCTCATCCCTGGCTTTTATCGCGGAGTCAATAGTATGTCCTCCGGCAAGAACGTCGTCGACATACATACTTTTTCGTAAAATGTTCGAGGCTATAGGATAGAGGCTTTCTGAGTCATCAGCTAGCTGGAGCAATGTCCTTATCGCGAGATAAGGAGCACAATTTATACCGAAAGTAACCGTCTTTAATTCGTAAATACTAATTGGTTCGTTTGGACACGTACGGAAAATTATTCGTTGGTACTTCGTTTGGTTGGCGTCTACAAGAATTTGCCTATACATCTTCTCAATATCGCTATTGAAGACGTATCTAAAAAGTCTCCAGCGGAGAATCAACACTGGTAAATCAGACTGAAGCACTGGCCCTGGAAGAAGAATATCGTTCAGGCTGACACCATTGGCTGAAGACGACGAAGCATTGAAAACCACCCGAACCTTTGTCGTAGTACTCTCTTCTTTTACCACAGCGTGATGTGGTAAATAGTAACTGTCGACTGCATCTGCTGACTGAATTGCATTAACTTTAGACATATGGCCCATTGTCTCGTATTCCATGATGACTTTGTTATATTCCCTCTGTAAGTCTGGATTTTTTCTAAGTCGAGTTTCGTTCTTGTAAAATTGAGAAAACGCGATTTTGAGTGATGGCCCTAAGTTTATATCAGCCGGGAACTCCGCCTTGAAAGGAAGCGACACGATGTACCTCCCATCTGGATTCCGCTGTGTTGTACGCTTGTAAAGCTCCTCGCACTTTGCTTCCTCAGCTGTTGCAGTTTTATCTCGTGGAAGATCCTCAAGTTCCCAAAAAGAGCTTAGCTGTTTGTCTAGGGCCACTTCATTGAAGAACGATACTCTATTATTGTTGGTTGGGTTGACTGCATCAGCACGACCAGTCAGTATCCAACCGAACACTGTTTCTTGTGCCAGAAGGGTACTAAGAACATTCTTCTTAATGCCACTCAAAATTATATGGGGATATATGTCCCCTCCCAAGACAAGATCGACCTGCTCATTTACATAAAACCTTTTATCTGCCAGGATGAGATCAGGAAAAGCTTGTTGTGTTAGTGCGCTAATGTCGCAAGTTGGCAAATTCCCGGTAAGAGTTGGTAGCACTAACACAATAGCATCAATTGAAATGAATGGGTCAATCGGTGACCGCAACTGTATCGAACACGCTTCTTTTACCTGTGCAGAAACCGTATTATTGATGCCCGAAACTTGAGCATGCATTTTCTTTGTGGGCAGTTGATTCTGCGTCTGAGCCTCTCCGTAATGAAGGAACACTCAGAGCCAGAATCAATTAGAGCTCTAGCAGCATAATTGGTGCCATTATAATGAATAGTAACCCGAGCAGTGCCGAGTAAAACACCTTTGCTAGTATTAGCGTGATGTGATTGCACCTTTTTTACTTGGTTACTTTTCCCCTTTGAAGCTTGATTCCTCAATTGTGCCTGTCTGGAAGTCGATGGTAAATTGTCCGCAGGATTAGAAGTATTTTCCCTGGTAGCTGTTTTAGGCGGTGCTGTCTGATTGTGTAGGAGCGTATGGTGTCGAGAATGGCAATTGGCGCAGTTATAAGAACTCGTGCATTTCGACACCGAATGTCCGAAAGACAGACAGTTAAAACAGCTATTGTTCGTTTTTACAAAGGAGATTCTATCAGCTACAGACATCTTCAGAAATTTTGGGCACATATGAATTCTATGCTCGTTGCTTTGGCACATTTTGCACATGTATTTGGCGACACTAGTTTGAAAAACGCCAAGTTTCTTGTGAGAGGGTTCAGAGGAATGCTTATGACTTGGCACTTTTGAAAACTTCGAAGTCTTGATTCCTCTTAAACCTGAAACCGATTCTAACGTTTGAAACCTGCTTGAAAGGAATCGGTCCATATCTGACCACTTGGATATTTCTGTTTTATTTTCTACCGATTGTTCCCACAGCGAAAGGGTTTCCTCAGGTAGTTTAGTAGAACACAGATACGTAATAATAGGGTCCCAGTTTGAAATGTCAATCTGGTGACTCTCTAGGGATGATATACAATTATTAATATCCCTTTGTAATCTCTTTATTGAGCTTCCACATTCACTATCAACTGTATTCAAGTTGAAGAGAATCTTCAACTGAGTGTTAACTAGGATCCTCTTATTTTCGTATCTATCGCAAAGATTCTTCCAGGCTGTGTTAAAGCCTTCATTCGTTAAGTCGCATTTCTTGACAATTTCTTTGGCTTCACCCTGCGTTTTTTGATTCAGATAATAAAGCTTCTGTATGGGTGTTAGCCGTTTGTTCAAGATATAAATTGCCGTGAACATGTCACGAAAAGTTGGCCACGACAAATAATCACCTTTAAAAACGTCAATATCGCAAGGTGGAAGATGCAAACTATGCGAAGCGAGTGACATCTCTTCACTTTCCTTTTCTGATTTTTCCAACTTTTCGGAATATTCGTTAATTTTTGTCATACACCGGACAAAAGCTGCATAGCAGATCTTATTTTTCTTTCTTATAGCGCTAACATCTTTAGCACTAGTTGATTCGGTAGTCAGAACTTCGTCAAAGAGTGCTTTGGCTTTCTCCCACAGTGCACTAAGCTCGCTTTGCTGAATTTTCAGCGAATGTTTGGAGTGCTCACCTGTGGGAGTGCTCAGAAATTCTGTATCAAATTCAATGACCGAATCTGCTAACCGGGTGTATGTTTCCATTTTATTTAATTTTTTCACTTATTTGCGAAATAACAACTTCACAAGAAATTTTTGGAAGTATCACTATGAGAGACTGACTCAAAAGAAGCCAATTTTCCAACCGTAAAGGTAGCACACGAAGAAAATCCTATGTCAAGGTAACCCAAAACTATATACCCAATGTATATAAGCAGAATGCACCACCAAAATACCACCAATTCAACCACAAAGTAATAAAAATTCTCTATTTTTCCTTTAAATTGTATCTATGAACTTTCTATGTTTATTAACACCGATTTAGCAATATAAATGCGTTTTAAGTATACGTATGTATGTATGTTTGTTTGTTCACAAGAAATTGCTCGCCAACCAAACCAGTGAGATCTGTATATGTATGTATGTGTATATATTCTTATGTACAAGCGCGTTATATGCCAAGTGCAAATAAATAATGAATATGGAAAAACACACCACTTGACTAATTAGAAATAGTGCCAAAATTTGTATTGGTTTTTAATAAATTAAATGCAAACGCGAAAGTGATTTTGTGAAAAGGAAATATTGCAAGTACCAAAGTTCGGTGCAGTGAAAAGTTTGGTTATGTAAACCGAATACAAGTGCAGTGTTGTTGGTAAATTTCGGTACTAAAATGCAAGTCACCAAGGAAAATATGATTAACAAAAATTCAACTATTTGAATTAATCACCGTAAAGAAACTTCTTGCAAATTGTTTCGCGATAATTCCAAAGCAAAACAAAACACTGCCTTTTTTTATGCCTGATCACACTTGTTTAATATTTAAATGGCTTTAGCGCCCACAAATGTATGTACATATATATGTGCGTGTGTGTGTGTCACTTAGCACTTCGGTTGCAATTAAAACTTTAAATTTTCACAAAATCACTCGCGAATTCTTGATTATTAACTAAATAAATGCTACACAAGATAATCTAAGTGCAGTGAAATTTGACCCACGTACCTTTAATGTAAAAAATTGATGACTTTATTTATCTAACAGGTGTCGGTGTTCGTGTGTGTGTTTTTGCTGTTGTTACTGGAAGCTCCTTTGGTTGCTTTGTGCAAAAATTTTGTAGCTGCTGCTGCAATGTACGGCTGCTTCAGATAGGCTCAAATTGGAATCCTCGGATTGGCTCAAAAAGCTGGGCGCTGGCAAGTGGAAAATGTTACGGCGTTGAAGGACCAGTATGTTAAACCGGCACAACGCTTGAGCAAGGTCGTGGCCGATTTAATTTGTTGGAATGAGAAATAAAGCAAAAACGTTTGTATTAATATTAAATATAAATTCGTGTTTATTCAATATCGATATTGGTATTAATATATGTATGTATATATTTGGTTTTACAGGTTACCTTTGATTTGACTCAGGAACACAATGGCTGGAACACGTCCTCTTGGATTCACTCTCGGAAAACAAGTAAGTGACCGGTTGAAATTTCTTCTTACTGTTGCCTGTCGAACTGTATATTTACCGAAGGGACATTTTAGCATAAGTAACATAGTGGTAAACAGTTCGACAGTTGACATAATAATGAAGTTATGTTAAGCATTAGGGTGGGTCGAAAATGCTGCGACAAATTTAGGCCGTTGGCCTAAACACTGCATATCTCTGAAAGGAATTATAAAATCTAAAATATTTTAAGACGTCCACCAAAATATTTCGGAAAAATATTAACATTAGCTGGACCGAGTTCAAAATACCTCCAAAAATGGAAATAGTTTCTTAAAGATGATTTTTGAAAAAGTTCCCTCAAATGACAAAACGGTTTAGGCTTAAAAAATTTACATAAGAATTAAAAAAA